TGACCAGCGCGCCGGCCGCGATAGGCGCGGGCAGGAGCTGGGGCGGGGTCTAGTCGCGAGGCTGCCGAGTCCCCTGTCTGTCACCGCGGGCGCGTGCAGGGGCCTCCCTGCAGGACGTGCACCCGGGCGGGCGCGATGGGTGCCAGGGAGGATCGGGCGGGTTGTGGCCGCCTGCCCTCCCTCATCCACGGATCCACCGAGCATCCATCGTCGCTTCCAAAGGGAGTTTAAATGGCCTTCCTGCCCATCAGGGAGTGGCTTCTTCGGAATCGCCAAGAAGGCTTGAAAGCCTGTGTTCCTCCTTTCCTGCTGTGGTACTTGTAGACCTCTTGGCTTTGGGTCCAAATACTACCTGAGTCTTGGTAACTGTGTATCTGTGCTGAGGATGACAGCTGTGTCCTTATTTAACAGTTCTTGGGCTAGATGATTCCACTTTAGCTTAGCACCTTGAAACTCGCGGGACAGTCCAATCGTTTCAGTATCGCCGAAAGGACTCTCTTAGGAGAGAAACTGCTTTGGTTTGTAGCTTCTAACTTAAATGTGTGAATGTGGGAAGAGGAGGTGGGTGTTAGGATTCAATTAATGCCCAGGACAATCGAAAGGTACTACAGGTCTCTTCAAATCACCATCATGAAAAATGCTCTCCAAAATCTCATTAGAGAGGTTTGACAGAACAACTGAGCTCAGCCTCTCTGAGCTGGGCCTCGATTTCCTCATTTGTGGAAGGAGGAGGAAGCTGAATACAGGCCCTTCAAGGCTTTTCCAACTCTTAATTCTTATGATACTAGGACCTCTATAAAATAAATAGCAGATGGTTTCTGATAGATGCCAATAAATTAACATTCAGTTAGTGGTGTAGAAATATAGCAAACATAGCTTTTGCTTGTTTTCAATTTGTATATAATTGATTATTGAGTCAGATTTTCTCAACTTTAAAAGACAATTTCTCTTTTTATTATTATTTTTACTATTACTGGGCTGTAATCATTTGGGAGAAGACAACTCTTCATATCTCCCTACATGTTGCTAATGGGAATTTAGTTGACATTAAGGTAACAAAACTCAAAGAGAATCAGGGCTTTCATTCCCTTGGGGCAGGCTGCATCTCTGCTTCCCCAGTTCACAGCTAACATAAATGGTAGATGAAAAGGACTCCTCAGTTTGGTACCAGGGTGCCTCACAAATAAGACTCTCATGTGAACAAAGTACATCTATCTGTAAACTTTCCATTCTCTCCAGGAAACATCTTTCCGCATCCCCCTTTTTAGTCACTATCCATGCCTCCTGGTCACCTCCAGCTCCCCTAGTGAGGAGTGGTTCAAAATCCTCCGTGCCTTGGCTCAGAGAGATTAGCAACATGTAACAAGTATGCTAGCAATGTCCAGTGGTCAGGGCGGTCCTCCACACAGGAGGCTCTTCACTAAACTCTTTTTTTTTTTTTTTTTTTTTTTGGTTTTTCGAGACAGGGTTTCTCTGTGTAGCTTTGCGCCTTTCCTGGAGCTCACTTGGTAGCCCAGGCTGGCCTCGAACTCACAGAGATCCGCCTGCCTCTGCCTCCCGAGTGCTGGGATTAAAGGCGTGCGCCACCAACGCCCGGCCACTAAACTCTTAAGACGCCTTCACAGAGTGAATACACAGCAACTGATGTTTTGTATATGGAAACAGGAGAAAAATCAGTTTCCAACATCGTGCCCGAGGAAGTCACCACAATGTTTAGATCGATTCACTGTAAAGCCAGCAAACATTAATTTGAACTTGGCTTTCCAGTAATCAAAGCCTTGTGGGAAAATGATAAAGCTGAACCAAAAGTACCAAGCCCTAAGGGAAGGGGAGGAGGGAGTACCAAACTAGAAAGAAAGAATTTTAAGACGCTGCTCATCCTTCCAATGCTCCCCCCACATTGTGTCTCTAACCCCGAGTCTGGCCCTTGTCAGTCACGTGCTCACCCACCGGGCTATCCTCCCAGCCCACTTCACGTCTTGTCAAACATTTCCTCCTCCACAAAGGTTCCTGTGTTCTTCCAGGTAGGTTTATAAATTCACTTTATTTTTTTACAATTTATTTATTTTTATGTACATTGGTGTTTTGCTTGCATGTAGGTCTATGTGAGGCCGTTGGATCCCCTGGAACAGACAGTTGTGAGCTGCCATTAGGGTGCTGGGAATTGAACCTGGGTCCTCTGGAAGAGCAGCTAGTGCTCTTAACCATTGAGCCAACTCTCCAGCCCCCATAAATTCATTTTCTAATGGGCGTTTTTTTTCTTAGATATGGTCTCTCTAAAATGTAGCCCTGGCTAGCCTGGAGTTTGCTATGTAGACCAGGCTGGGCTCAAACTCAGAGATCCGCCTGCCTCTGCCTCCCCAGAGCTATCTTTGTATTTTATATCCCAAATTAAGCATGGCACCTCTCAAGGGTTCAGTAAATAGTATTTTTAAACTGTATGTTGAGAACTATACTGTATGTTAGGCACCACATCAAACACTTTGCATGCATTAATTAAATCCTCAAACCTGTTACTGTTCACAGTTACAGCAGAGCTGGGTTGAGTTCAGTACTGTCTACCTTCAAGGTCAACGTGGTGCTTAATGACTATATTGCTTGCAGACTTGATAATGGAGAGTAATACTCTTCCTCAATATGGTTTCAGAGTAATAACTACATAACTACCGTTCCTCATTGTTTACTTGCAGGTTTAAGTGTGGGATATGGAGTTTCTGGGCTCAAATGCTACTTTTTTTTTCTTTTTTTCTTTTTGGAGCTGAGGATTGAACCCAGGGCCTAACCACTGAGCTAAATCCCCAACCCCTCAAATGCTACTTTTAAGATGTGCATATGTGTAGTGTGTGTGTCCACGGAACACACCGGCATGCAGCCAGAGGCCTGCCCTATGGCTTTCTGCCATATTTCTTCGAGACAGAACCTCTCGTTGAACCTGGAGTGAGGCTGGCTGCCAGCAATCCCAGTAATCCTCCTGCTTCCACCTCCAGCAGCCCTGGGGTTAGAGGCATCCATAGCCACACCCGCCTTTCTGTGGGGGGGCTGGGGATTCAAACTCAGGTCATCATGCTTGCATGGCACACACTCAGCCACTGAGCTTTGCCCCCAGCCCAAATATTACCATCAACACTAAAGGCGAACATATCATTAATGACTTTTTGTACGCAAAGGGACCCCAGTGTGGATGGGAAGCTGACTTGCAATTCTGTGAAATGAAAGGACTCCAGTTAAAACCTGGACCTTCTGATTTGACTTCTAGGGTTATTTCAACAGCTTCACACCACAGTGGTAGGATTGCCGAAGTTTACAATTTGCTGCTTGTATGGGTTTCCAGAGTGAAATCTGGGTCAGATTCGATGGTACACACTTGTAATCCTAGCACTTGAGAGGCTGAGGCAGAAGGATTGCAGTAAGTTCAAGGCCAGCTTGAGATACACAGCGGGTGAGCTGGGGCCATATAATAAGACTTTCAAAAAAAAGCAAGGCTGAAACTCGGATGCTCGATGCTAAGTTAAGGCTCCTTTACCAGACTCAAAGTCTCACTGGGGCTGGGGAGACAGCTTGGTAAAGTGTAAAGCACCTGTTGCATAAGTATAAGACCTGAATCCTATCCTCAGAGCCCCTGACAGATATCAACTAGGCATGGTAGTGAGCTGGAAGCCCCAGCTCTGGAGGGGCGGTCAAGCAGATCCCTGGGACTTGCAGGACAATCAGAGAGGCCTGGGCCAATGAGAGAACCTGTCTTAAAAACAGAAGCTGAGGCCGGGGAGTGGTGGCACACGCCTTTAATCCCAGCACTTGGGAGGCAGAGCAAAGTGGATCTCTGAGTTAGAGGCCAGTCTGATCTACAGAGAGAGATCCAGGACAGGCACTAAAACTACACGGAGAAAGCCTGTCTCGAAAAAACAAAAACAAAATAAAACAAAAAACCACAAGCTGAAAATCTGCTTTAGGAATGAAATTTGCGATTGTCTTCTGGCCTACACACACACACACACACACACACACACACACACACACACACACACA